TACACACACATGTCCAGCTTCATTAAACATCAAGCATAACATATTTAATATTATATCATATTTGATTCTACTAACATACAAATTTTCAAAGATTTCTCCAAGCTTATGCAAGGAGTGTTTGAAACGAGTCTTTTTGGGGAGTTGAATTACTTTCTCGGACTCCAAATAAAGTAACTCAAGGAAGGAACACACACGTGGGGAATTTCTTTTGTGATCATGTTGAAAAAGGGGATGTTGTGTTCGAGTATTTTGATAGTGAAAATCAACTTGTCGACGTTTTCACAAAATGTTTGTAATCAAATTGTTTTTCAACAAACATGAGGAAGTGAGGATCATTAATGTCTTCAATATTGCTTTATTTATTATGATGCTTGCACTTTTATACTTTTACTGTAACACTTTGTTTGAGTATTTACATCATGTGAGTGCAACTTCCATTCTATCAAGAATGAGGTAATATTGTTCTAAATTTCTCTTTTAAAGTAAGATTTGTCTTAGTACATGTTTAGTTGATGAACAATGCTTGCTATGTTCTCAAATGATGAAAATCATGAATGTTCATTTCCAAAATTTTTGATTGATAAATATCGTGTGTTCTCAATGTATATGCTTATAATGACTTCATGTATTAATTCTTTCACATTTGTATAAGTTTGTTCTTGTATGTACAAACATGTGTTTTTATTATTATTTCTTGCATTTGTTCATGAGTTGAATGTAAGCATGTTAATTGCATGTACGATTCTTGTTTTAGTTGAGTCACATCTTATGGCAACATTTTAATTTTGTATTGAATAGTGACATATTCTTGTCTCTATGCTAGGCACATGCTTGTGCGGCATTTGGAGTTCCATTGTGTCGTGTTACGTAATCGCAATGCTACAGAAGCAACTTGACTAGCTTGCTCTTGCATCACATTTATTATTATTCATGCAATTGTATTACATGTTTGGTAATGCCTTTTGCTTGTTATCTATTAATTTTGCATCATTACATATATATGGCGATATGTAATTGTATGCCCTTCTTTGCAAAAATGCCTGAGTGATATATTAGTATTGGTATTGGAATATGATACTTCTCACAATTTGCCTTCTTTCTTTTTGGTGTTGTCAAAGGGGGAGAAGCATATATGAGATGAAGTTGGGAAGCACAAATTCAGGGGGAGCCTTCGATAACTACATGAAACGCATCGTTACAAGTTTTGCCATCATAAAAAAGGGGGAGTATGTGAGTGCAACTTCACCATTAGATGTTTTGCATGATGTCAAAACTAGGAAAACTTAGTATTTATGTATACTGGACGGTATCTCTATGTTCTGTGGCACTCCCTTGCATTAGAGGTCTTATGAATCATTTAAAACAAGTTTGAAATTGGTCCAATTCATGAAAAATTATTTTCTGCACAAATTTTTATTGTATGTGACGACACATATATATTTCAGATCGACACATACTGAAGCTTTTAAGAAATTGCATAAATGTTGATTTTATGTGTCAACACATACAAATTTCAGGTCGACACGTGTACTGCATTTTTAAAGGCAAAAACTTAATGTCTTACTTAGGTCGACACATCTGTTTTTCATGTCGACACATGCAGTTAAAATCTGACTTATGTGTCGACACATATAATTTTTAGGTCGACACATACTGTTTGATTGAGTCAATTTTTCAATTATTTTTAATTTGGAAAATCCCATTTTTGCATGTAAACTTCCACAACTATAAATACATCATTCATGCATCATTCCAACTTGATGATACCATAAAATTAACCTACATTTTCTCTTCATCTTCAACCTCCAAATTATGCATACACACTATAACATTCCATTGTAATGATATTTTGTTGGGATGCCATCTAGATGAGGTTTGATAATGTCCAATTAGGTTCTTGTATAGCCGAGAATATTGGGTTGAGATTTGTAGGGGTCTTCATCTAGAAAAATCGCGGGTTTATCCTCTAAGATCTTTAGTAGATTTGGGGGTTTTCGTGCAAGACGTTCAAGAGAGGATTGCAGCCTAGTGAAAACCTTTTGGAGATAAATAATACAAAGGATCCTTTGAAGATAAAGAACTCAAAGTAAGTAGCAAGAGAACGATGAATCAAATTGAAGTCTTGTGTTGCAATAGGTGCAATTGATGGTGCGTGAAAGATTTAGAGATAAAGTATGCAAGGGAGTAGCAAGATCTAGATAATCAATTGGTAACTATTGTGTCTTGGTCTTGTTAAAGATAAAAGGAAAAGGAGGGGTTGAATCAACATCAAATAATTGTGTTTGTAGGATTGCTCTTGGAACACTTATCTTGTAATGATACTTTTTGCAAAGTAAGAAAGTATTCTAATTCCACATTGGAATTGGGCGTACACGTATCCACATGCGAGGATGAAAGTGGGGAACTGCATAAACAAATTCTTGTGTCGCTCCCTATTAACTCTTTACTAGTTTTTGTTTTCATTACGTAATTTGTTGAATAATATTGTTTAATCGATTGACTCGTAAGAATTTTTCTGCAATTGTTTTGTTTAAAGTGGTGTGTTGATTAGCTTATAATCACTTTGATTATAAGTGGTTTTTATATCAACACAACTCAAAGAAAAATTCTGAAAAGTTGAACGCACAACAAGAGTTTGAGAAATTATTATGTTCTATCTTTTACTCTCATTTACTCTTTATATGCGATTTGTTGAATGAGGTGTTTGATCGATCGATTCGTATATAATTTCTTTGATTGTTAAAGTTTAAATTTCTATGTTGATAAGCTTATAATCAATTTGATTGTAAGTGTTTTTTCATGTCAACAAAGCTCAAAGAAAATTCTGGAAAATTGATTGTGCGCCACATGTTCGATAAATTGTAAAGTTATGTTTTTAATATGATTTCATTGGAAATATGAAACCTTTGTGTTTGATATTAAACAATTAATTGAGATATTATTATGTTAATTTATTTTATCATTATCTTATTTCCATATGGCTTGTGCACATCTGAGTTTTCAGTTACTAGGTTCGTTTAGACTACTATTTTGATCTAGGCTAAAAACCTTCGGCTCAACATTGTTTTTCAAATAAGTTTTTAAGTAACTATTTTAAAAGTAATTTTTAATTGGGGATCTATTCACCCCTTCTAGATAAATCACTGTAGTATAACATAAACATGACAACATATCTAGGAGATTACAACCATCAAGATAATATCATCTGATCCATACATCATAATATGACAGTCACTGTCAATTTCAATTGACTCTCACACACAATGTAATTCATTATTGTTGAAATCGTAACAATCATGTCAATTCTTCTAATCTTTTCACCGTCTTGAATGTTTCCATCTAACCAACAGACCAAACTCCTCTCAAGATGTTCGAAAGTTTCACTGTTATAAAGTCGGATCTTCACCAGAGACTTTAGTGGCGAATAAAAAAGATAAGCATTTTTTTTAATATTGTGAGATTTTTTGAAGAAATGTTTAGGAAGAAAATGAGAAGAAGGGTCACAAATGGTGGAGAGTGAATGACCTATTTATAACAAAAGTATTATAACATATGCGCCAGAGGGAATGTCGTCTCTTCTTAAGTCAGCATACATGCGCCACATAAAATGTCACATCCTTTTAGGACAACAATGCATGCGTCAGACTATGTGGCACATACGTATTGCATGCGCCGAGTTTAAGTTTTTAATTAAAACTAATAACAAACTCGTGCATACGCACGGATTCTGGTCTGGTATGCGCATTTGTTTATACAATATATTTATTTTAAGTAGAAAATTAAATTTTTTCCTGTATACAATTTTCGGATCATAAATACCTTTTTCTTATATAAATTTTTTTACATGAATAATAGATTTTTTCCGTCTACAAATATTATTTTTGTTTATGTATAGTTTATAAAAATATTTGGATCAATAGTATACTTTCGTATATAAACATATATAGATCAATAATAAAAATTTTCTCGTATACCATTTTTGAATAAAAAATATTTGAATAATAAATATCTTTTTTCATATATAAAAATATTTTGATCAATAATATATCTTTTCCCGTATGCAAATATTATTTTTGTTTAAATATCATATACAAAAATATCTAGATCAATAGTAAATTTTCGTAAATAAAAATATTTAGATCAATAATAGATTTTTCCGATATATCATTTTTAAATACAAAATATTTAAATCATAAATATCATTTATCATATATAAAGAATTTTAGATTAATAATAATTTTTTTCCCGTATACAAATATTATTTTTGTTCTGTACTAATAATAAACTTTTCCAGTTTTAAAATCATGGAATTTAAAACAAAATTTGTTTTGGTAAAAAAAAAACTTAACTACTAAATATGTCTCGACTCATAAATGTCCAGGGATCATTTGAAAATCAGTCTTATTGTTCATCTTTTAAATGGATTAAATTGTTGCCAACTAAATTGCATTCATCCTTTTGCATTAAGTTTGAGCACTAAAAGTAAAACATAATCAAATTGATAAATATGTTGCTTTTGCATTAAGTTTGACCACTAAAAGAAAAACAGAATCAAATTGATAAATATGTTGCTTGTAAAGCCTGTTTTGATAGAATGCAAGAAGAAATTCAAACTAACATACAAATTTAATTCCAAACTAACACACAATTTTCAATAAAAGTCTTAAACAACACAACCAAGACAATGTACTGGTGGAAAAGTTAATCATTCAGATAAAAGTCATATGAAACTCTTCACAACACAACCAAGACAATGCACTTCTGCCATTGAGAAACATTCAGTGGAACATGTACAAACAAAGCTATTTCTATAACTATCAATGGTACTTTGATGGTTTCATCTGCCATTGTAGTTTTTCCAGCTCCACTAACTCCCATTAAGGCTGTGAGAACACCAGACCTAAATGCACCTCTGACATATTACCTTTTCACAAAAACCCACTGATTTTCCTTTTATATTATTTTCACAAAAACACTATAACTTAAGTCACTAAATAAACTCAGATAAGTAAATTCAAACATACCCTAAGCAAACACTTGATGTTTTCTTCCTCAAACATTCTAATGGCTTTCCTTTTCTTAGATAACTTATTAGCATATTGATATCCTATATGTTGATTAAATTGAGCAACAGTTTGAGCCCGCAGTTCCTCCAAACTTTTACCTTCTTTCACTCTCTCAATCACCTGAAGACTAATAATCCAAGAAGATGATGAAGAAACCAGTACTTTGAAGAACCATCTCTTCATGATCTGATCATTTCACGAAAAAGGGTTAGAATGAAGACAGGAAGAACTTCGGATCTAAGAAATTAACAGTGTGTGAGTGTGTGATTGAAGGAAGAAAATGATTCATAACCGAAATAGAGAAATTAGGAAACGAAGAAAGAGAAAAAGAACGAGAGAGCGCTTTGAATTTGGGACAGAGGAATTAAAACATTTCTCAAACCATGATTGATGGTTGTAACTGCTATAGAACATGGGGGAGACTGGTAGTGAAACGGTGGAAAAGAAGAGATATTTGAATTAATAAAAAGATATGTTTGTAGGAAGCCACGTGTTATGATTTTGAAGAAAAAAGACAAAATTAAATTTTCGAATTAATCTAATTTTCTTATATAAATTTCTAATTTGCATATACAGGGAAAAACACGATACAGCTCTAGTTTTTAGGGAGAAGGAAAAGAAAATCACGATACAGCTGATACCTAACGAGTGAACAAATGCATTACAGAACATGAATTTGCCGAGGGAGAAAAACCTGTGAGAAGAAACTAGGGGAATCGATGGGTCCATGCCCAATATGATTGGATTTCAAAAAAGCTTCATCTCACCTAATCTGCGCACCTCAACACTCCATTTTCACCGTCTTCAATTTCACCACCATTGGTAATACACCCATCTTACGCTTCTTTCAATTCATGTTGGCTTTTGCTTATAAACTGTTTGTTGAAATGCTCCAATGATGAAAAACTTATAGTTTTTATGACAAGAGATAAAAAAAAATTGTTTTCATATAAGCTATATTAACAGTTTCTATAAGCTATCTTGGAAATTTTATGGAAATAAGCTGAAAACTGATTGTAGACATGTTATAAGTTGTTTTCGTAAGCTTGCCCGGTTATGTTAGTAGATAAACAAGAATAAGTAACCCCAAATAGGCTCTTAAATAAGTTATCTATTATTATTATTATTATTATCTAATTGTCTTTAACTCTAAAAATGCCTCTGCACTGCCACTTACTTTACCTATTTTTTACAATTTGGTGTAATTTTGAGAGTCTAAAAGATTGAACCGTTGAGAACTGGTTCTTTACTAAGTAATTTAATATGAAACTAAAAAATGTATATACTTGGTCAACGGTCATAGAAAGACCGCCGTGATTATTTAGAGTATTGTTTTCTTAAATGTTATTTATGTATTCTACTAAGTTTTAGTTGCTGCTTAGTTTATAAGTACATATCAAGTGATACTTTCTCTTCTTTAACAGTGGCAAAATTGATTCTTCATTTTCTGTTGTGTTTGTGCAACGTTTCAAGCATAAAAGTAGCTGTTACAAGGGTGCACTTGTTGCAAGTTTGAGTAATAAGAGGAGTTTTAGTAGCGATGCTAGGAGCCATGTTCCTGATAACCCTTTCAAAAAATCTGGTAATGGTGGTGGCATGTTGAAATTCACATCTGAGGAAAAACACTTGGTTCTTCAAGCACCGAGCCTCCAGCACTGGTTTAAAAATTGGCAGACACTTCGGAAACAAAAGCTGACAGCTAGTACTTTTGCTGCTGCCATTGGATTTTGGCGTCGTCGAAGGTCTCAGCTGTGGTTGGAGAAGATCGGTGCTATAGAACCATTTTCTGGAAACCTTGCCACATGTTGGAGCAATATCAAAGAGGAAGATGCACTTGAAAGATACAAATTAATAACGGGAAATAATGTTTTATTTCCTGAATTTCAGGTCTACAATGCAAAACCAGAAGACAGTTGGCTAGCTGCTTCACCGGATGGTATAATTGACAGGCTAGTATATGAATTGCCTTCTCACGGTGTTCTGGAGGTAAAATGCCCATATTTCGGTGGAGACATGAGTAAAGCTTTCCCTTGGTATCGAATTCCGGTTCACTATATTCCTCAAGCTCAGGGTTTAATGGAGATTCTAGGAAGGGATTGGATGGATTTTTATGTTTGGACGATTAATGGTAGTAGTCTGTTCAGGATACATCGTGATCCAGAGTATTGGGATTTAATGAAAATGGCACTTTCTGATTTCTGGTTGAAGCATGTCCAGCCAGCAAGAGAGTTGTATAGTAGTGGTGTTATAACAGATCCCCTTTTTCAATTAAGATCACTTGCACCAGCCCCTAGACATGAACTATGTCGCGATATAGTTTATAAAAGTAAAGTCATTGTTGATAATTCTAAGTTTTTAATTCGGGAGATACATGGGAAAATGACAAACTGATTCGTCCAGCTGTTATAGCGGAGTCATTTATTTAGAAACAACATGTTGGCTGTACATTCCGTAATATTTGAGGGGTTAGTGTGAATCAATATAGTTTAGGAAGTTATTGATTTTGCTTAAGTGAATTGTCGATTGGTGTTGGTTATAGAGAACCATCTACAAAAAGAGTTGCAAATTTTAGGGTTATGTTAAGTATGCCTATTTACTTGCTAGAGTGCAGAAAGACAAACTTACCTGGTTGTGTAATGTTAAAATTTGCGACACTTGAGACTTTGCAAATTTCGTGTTGGTTGATTTGTAGCACGGTGATTCAATAAAGTGTTACATTTGTTATTGTTTGTCTAATACATCCCTCTTCTTTTTTCTAGGCTTGAGACATGTGAAAGTATTTGTTCCCTTTTGTGGTGTGTTAGATATAAAATCATTCATATGCCTTCAGCACAGCTCAAGCTTTTGGAAGGAGCTGGCTCATGACATGGTATTACCACATCAACCATGCATTATATGGTTTGAAGCTATGGTCATTTTTGAAGATATCTTATGTTAACAAAATGCTGATTATAATTGATAAGTGAGTACTACATTGCAAGTTTGCACTGGCCGAGCAATATATTTTTATTTAGCAGGATGTCTTTTCTTGAAAAGATGCAATTTGTATTCATTCATCAAACATTGTTACAAGGTTATTAATTAGAAACTTAGTTTCATGCTGCGCTCATTCTTCCAGCTCTCCTTTTTTGTCCCTAAAGTTGCAGTGTAGCTTAACTAATGGAAGAATGTTGGAATCTAAATGCTGCAGGAATGTTTCTCGATTCATCTAGAGATGGCAAAACGGATCCGACCTGTCGATATATGTCTATTTTGTCCGATTTTTTTTGTGAGATAGACCAAGACTTTAGGTCTGCACCCTCTAATATACCAGTCCCACCATGGTTATCAAAATCACGATCTAAATTTTTAAAATCTTACGATTTTATGAACTCACTCACCCCCAACTATCTAGATCTTAAGTAGAATCGTGAGTGGTTGTCAAAATGTGAATTTTTTTTTGGTAAAACCAATGATTATGTTTTATAGGCCATTATGGCCATTTTCTGGCCACCACCATTACAAGCCGGGATAGATGATAAGATACAAAGGCGCAATAATTTCGGTCCGGCGGCATCTATTTTTCTATGAATACATTTGCCTACGAAAATATCATGTAGAAATATTTCAAACATGTAGTATTAATTTATGTTTAAGTAGTATCTTACGATTTTTACTACGATCTTATGTTTTGTGATTTTTGGGCGTACAATTAGTCTCTCATGTAAATAGGAAATGTTGATAGTTCCATCTGGTAGTCTTTCTCTTAATTGCTTAAAAACATTTTTCTTGTGTTGTTTATCAAACAAACTTGCAAAATTCCTCCAATTTATTGTTTTAATTTAATCGCACAACATTCCTTGTTCTAGATTCCCAAATCTTGTGGAGACAAATTTATATTTTATTACTTCATTGCTAGTATTTTATCATCAAGTTTTTGGGGTCGTTGTCGGAAATTATTGAATTTTCGACAAGACAATAGTGTGTGACGTTCCAAATTTTAGTATTTAGTTAATTTTTGTAAATAGTTTTCCTTTATTTATTTATTTTAGTTTAGCTTCCAAATTCTGTTTGGATCGGTTTTTGGTTAAAAAAGTTTGAATCGATGATATCTCCATTAATTGGTTTGGTTCGGTTGATCGATTTATAATGGTTTTTTTAAACATTATATTCATTAGTGTATTCTTCTCTATCGTGTTTTACAAATTATTTTATACTATTATTTTTTAAAATATTACATTTCATGTAATTTATTTCATTTTTTTCAAACAAATTAAAAGTTATTCTTAATTCATACAAAATAGTGACATGATTTTGATGCTCCATCATGAAATAAGTTTACTATCAAATGTAAAAGTTGACACTTGACATCAGAAGATTGAGAATATATTTGAAAGCTTAACAAATAGAACACGGTAAAACACAAATCAATTAACATGTTTCACACCTCAAACACACAAAAACTATTTTGTAATAAGATTAGAAGTAATTTTGTTGAAGAAAAAGAAACAAAATAGATAAAAAAAAAAATTAACGAAGAGAACTTGAACACGAAAAAGACGACCATAACATATCAAAACAACGATATAGACAACAATAATTGTGGCGGATAGCGAGAAAGCAAGTTTTTGTGACTTATGGTTTATACCTTCTATGTTTTAGAGTTCGGTTCTAAATGCGTGTTTTGCTAAAAGAAATATAGTGTAAACAAAGATGACGTGGCTGAAACGATGCAAAATTTCGGCGGAATAAAAAATTTAGAGCATAATTATATTCGTTGGTTTGATTCATCGATTTGACGATTTCTAAAAACTGAAGCCGAGAGTCAAAATAAACCACATCGATTTTTATTAGTTTGATTCGATTTTAGAACTAACCCAAAAACAATCAATTTTATTTCGATTTGATTTGATTTAAATTATCAATTTAATTTATTTTTTCTATTCCGCTTACGCCCCTAATTGTAGTGTTAATTTACTCAACTTCTAATTTGCAGATCTAAAAAAGAGTAGCGTAAAAATAAAAAAAATAAAAAAAATTGAACGAAACTCTTTTTTGCAGAAACCGAGAAAACAAAAAAACTAATGTCTCAATAAAATTAGTAAAATTATTTTCTATCACATGTTTTTTTTAGAGTTTTAAAATTATTTTTTGCATTTTTTTGTTATTTTCTTTTTATTTTCATTTTTATTTTCATTTAAAAA